AACTCGAAGAGCATGTCTGTTCCAGAACACAGCCAACAAAGCAGTGATTAAGTAGTGCAGTTTTATTTCACTGCAGACACCACAGTTTCACCTTTGGATTCTATTACCAACACTAATCTCAAAGTCCCTTTTGCAAAAATGTTCCTTATATGGACACCTCTTTAATAAACTCTCACACAGTCAGGGGGTGAAGACATCAAAGAATCTTCCAGCCTGGGATTCTGGAAAGATTACCTTTGAAACACAGTTCTTTTGGTAAAGATACTAGAAAGAGCTAAATAGTTGTGAGGCTAGTACATGAATTCCAATCATCCGATTTTCAGCCCCGCCTGTCACAGATGGCATGAAGGTTGGCTCCACGTGCTTCTAAATTTGTGATCCTAACCAGTTGCTCAGGAGGAAGGACATAGACCCGCGAATGAAAGAATTCAGCACCGTACTCATGTGGCAGGTCAGGAGAAACGGCCAGGAAGCGGGTGCTCAGGCCTTTGGAAGGACAGAGGGTCACATCTGAGAGACCATCCTATATCGGGACTTCCTGTGTAACTGCCAACCACATGCTCCCTTGGCTGTTAAGTGTTAAGACTTTACAAGAAGTTGGGGCGCCTGGGTGGCTTAGTCGGTTAAGCGTCCGACTTTCGCTTGGGTCACGATCTCGCGGTTCGTGGGTTCGAGCCCCGCGTCGGGCTCTGTGCTGACTGCCAGCTCAGAGCCTGGAGCCTGTTTCGGTCTGTGACTCCCTCTCTCTCTGACCCTCCCCTGCTCACGCTGTCTCTCTCTCTCTCCTAGAAATAAATAAAAAACATTAAAAAAAAATTAAAAAAAAAAAAGACTTTACAAGAAGCTAAGACAAGGAAATAAGGAAGATTTAACTGTCAGAAAACAGGCAGAGCAGTGCTGTTAAGGGGGTTGAGAGAGCGTGAAACAGCAAGGCTTAAGAAAAGGGCCAGGACGGTTTCTCAGAACAGGAAAACAATAAACACGGTTTGTTTTCTTCAAAGGAGATAGAACAAGACAAAAGCAGGAAGTGCTGTCCTTCCTCATCCTGCCAGATTTTCAGTGGAAAGTCAAGTGTGTGCATCAATCATGATAAGGGAGGAGAGACCAAAGTGATAACACCTTCAATTTCTTGAAAGAAAAATAGAAAAATGCATCACGTAGCACACTGTTCTTCATTTTGCTCTTTCAAGGAGTGCAGTGCGTGTCACACTGTGAAGTAACTCACGGTGAAATAGTACTATGCATGCAAACATGACCTCTCTTTAAACTTCCTGTAGGATTCTTGCTACTTAGCACTCCGGGAAGGCATTTGGGCTGGACAAAGAAGACTATCCCGTATTTCTCCAGAACAAAGATTCTGGGTCCACACTACTTCGGCGCTTGTAATCATCAAGAATTCAGTGCTTTGCTGTGGCTACAATGGATATTCCACATGTTTAGATAATTACAAGTCAAATATTTTTGTAAAGAGTCTAGGCTGTCAGAGACTTCTAGGAGAATGAATACTAACCACATGCCTTCCAAATTTGGTATAAAACTAAAAAACCAAAGAGAACAAATAAGTTATCTGTACTCAGAGTCTCACAGTTGCACAATTAATCTAATATGCTCCTTGGTGGGCTTGGCCTATGATGTCACTTTTGGGGACAGAAATCAAATTTCACTAAATTCTATTAAATGAGAGTGAACTAATATATACAAGCTGCCTGACTTATGGATTCAGTTTCAAACCAAAAAAAAAAGTTTTTTTTGGTAATTCAGTATTTTGGATACCAGTATGTATTTTCAAATACTAATAAAAAAATCACTGTTCAAAATAGCAGTTAGTCCCAGGCAAGCCTGAATAAACGTATTTTCCCCATAATGTATCTGAAGTATATCAGGGCGCCTGTGTGGCTCAGTGGTTGAGCATCTGACTTCGGCTCAGGTCATGACCTCATGGCTCATGAATTTGAGCCCTGAGTCGGGCTCTGTGCTGACAGCTCAGAGTCTGGAGCCTGCTTTGGATTCTGTGTCTTCCCCTCTCTCTCTCTCTGCCACTCTTTGCTCCCGCTCTGTCTCTCAAAAGTAATAAATAAACGTTAATATATATCTATGTGTATATATATATATATGTATATATATATATATATATATATATACACATAGTTATGTTTTTACTGTGTTTGATTCTACAGAGATGGCAAGGTACTAGAATAATTGCAGCTGACATATATTGAGAGCTTACAACTGGCCAGAAAGCATGCCCAGAGCTTTGCATGGATGATGTCTTCTTATCTTCACAACAATTGTATGGTATAGATGCGGAAACTGAGCCTTAAGAATCATTTTGTGAGCGGCTCTAAATCACACAGAAACATTATATGATGGTGAGCTTGCAAAGTTGAACTCCAGAGACAATACTAAGCCTTAAGCAACCTCGGCTTCTAGTTCCTGAGCAATAAGGCACCATCACTATGTTCCCTAACCACATTGGACCCGTAGTTTTCATGTGGAAAATTAGAGTCAGAAATACGGATTCTTTGGGCTCCCTTTACTCTGAAAATTTTATTATTGTATTTATTAACTTTCAGATGCAATTGTATTTTGATTGAGAATGCATTCAGAGTTTCAAACTGTGGTAAGGTCAGCATCCCTCTCCCTGTTACCTGGGGCAGGCAGAAAGCTTCTAGGAAGAACATAGCTGTGACGTTAGGGATTCTAGAAGACATATAAATAGGAAAGGGGTATAAGAAACTACTAGATGGGAAACTAGGGCCTCATGAGGGTTTAAGTTCTTAGTTGGAGCTCTGTTAATTTGGTTCTCTTGCTGGCTGGAATGTTTCTCTTTCTATGCGGGGTTTTACTCATTCCAGGACCATAGTTTAACAGAACACACAGTCAAAAATTTCTTTCCTTGTTCTTATCCCTGAAACAAGTATAGTTTTCCAGAAGTTTTATCTCAAGCAACCAAAGAATTGGACAAGAAGTATAAAGGCTTCCTGTTGTATACACATGCTGCCTCCTTTTAATTATTTCTTCTCACTGTGACTCTTGGAGAGAAAGACTAAAGTCTGTTCATAATTAAGGGGTTGAAAGAAAAATCCACCTGCATTTTAGAAAAAAAAAATCTGGACTCCAAGTTTCTGCAGCATTTCTTTTTAGGAAGAATAAGAAGCTTCAGTGAGGAAATGAGACTTAAATTCAAGATTCTTCCTTCCAAAATGGCTGGGAATGGAGGGGTCATGGGGAGGAAAGGAGGTGGGCAGTATAGCCTTTATAATCTTCTTCCCTTCCCTGCTTTAGTGCAGATCTTCCTAGAGCATGCAATAGGGGAAAGGGAAGAATGGACAAGATGATGTGAAAGAGAAGGAAGGACTGGAAACATGGAGGACAGGGTGTCCTTTGGTCAATACTAAGGAGCATTAATATATGAGAGAGGTGATTCAGGAAGGCTGCATATTCAAACACGAATATAAGCATACAGAACAGACTATCAGGCTTACAGCAGACATGTTAGAGCATATCTACTCTTACCATGTTATCAATGGGAGAATTTTTTTCTAGAGCACGTCTAATAGATGATGGTAAGGCAAGCTCTGTTTCAATATTCTAAGTCACCTATTTTCTTCTTGAAAGGCTTCAACAGTTAGAAACTACTGTAACTTGTAATATTATCACTTCCAAATATTTGTTTTGGTACCAGCTCAAGGAGGGCGGGAAATGAGTCTTAATTATTTTTGCATTCCTAGAACCTCCAACTTAGTGCACAGCATGTACTTCATAGATTGTTCGTCAAATGATACTAAGTATATTAATTCATACAATAACTCCTTACCTATTTTGTAGCAATCAAAACATGTCCTAAATTTTCCCTTTTGCAAGCTAACTACAGTCAGTTTTCTCAACCAATCCTCACCAGTTCTGATGATATAACTCTGGGAACCTATCATATTACTTATATGTACCTCTGGCATTTCATATAAATATTCAAAAGAAATAAAATTTAAAAAGAAGGGGTAATCAAAAGTCCTTTTGTCACATCTATTTCCTTTTTACTATTAGTCATAAAAGTCATGTGAATTTTCTATAGTCTTCTTAAATACATGTGTCAATAATAAAATAATATGTGTTCATTATTTTAAAAATAAGAAAATTAAAATCTCTCATAATCCCAACATTCTGGGTGCATTTCCCACCACTTTTCGGATTTTTTTGTGAAGATATTTTAATGTAATGTGATCATACTGTATATATCATTTTATACTTAGTTTTTAATTTAATGTACTATAAGCATTTTCTCATGTTATTATCAGTTCTCCACAGAGACTACTTTAAGTCGCTATTATATTTCATTGAAGAGCTACCTAGTTATTTACCTAACTAATACCTTATGGTTGTACAGCACCCAATATCTCACTACAATAAACAGGATTTTAGAAAAAAATTTTTTCCACATCTTTGATGATCAGTTTAGGACAGATTACTAGAAGTGTGGTTAGTAGGTCAAAGGACATAGATTTTTAACAAGACTTTTGAAATTCTCTTCCTTAGAATATGCTTCCCAGCCCTCAAGACTAGATTCCCTTGTTACCTGTTACCAGAGCGCCTCACAATTTTTTTTCCTAACCATCATCATTTTGAATACTTGGTTATATTTTCTTTCCTTTTAGATTGCAAACTGCATTAAGGTAGGGCGTGACCATTTTTGCTGACTGCGTCATGCATAAAGCTAACACAGAGCACACAAAGGATATTTTATTTAGCTGAATAATGTTAAATTGCTTCCTTAAAAGGATGTTTGAATTGGTACCCCAGAAGCACTGTTGGCATTTCTCCAACTCACTGCATTATCATTGTAAAGCTATGATACCCCCAAATGGGACAAAATACTTAATGTGATTGAATTTCTGTTACAAATGAAACCTGTGACTTAGAACTCATCTCTCGACTATTATGAATTCACTGGGTATGTTAAACTGTGCACCAAAGATTCGGTGAGACTGTGACCTGAACATTACCAGCTCTCGGGGAAGAAAAGTTCCTTCTTGACGGGCGATGACCAGCGATGCTGTCTCTCCCTGCTTGGTGCTCCTCAGCATGGCCACGAGCTCTTCCTGAGTTCGTCCAGTGACATCTCTGCCATTTACCTAATGGGTGCCATCATATGAACACATCACAACACTTTCCATCTCCTCCTGCCCTAGACGGTTTCCACAAATAAATAGCAACTGGGCTTTACAACCAATAAAGCTCTCAAACGATGAAAAGTGTACACATGGGCCCAAACCAACTATGTCCAAAGTACCAGTACTGCTCTGACCATCATGACTACGTTGCTAGATCCCTTTAGATACTCAGTAATTAATAGTTTCTCCTAGGATATTACATTCTTAGGAAAGGAATTTCAAAGTGACAGCAGAGAATCATTCCTTAAATGGGAAAGATGTTGATGGCGTAACTGGCACCGTTTTCTGCTAATGCTTAAAAACAAACACTGGACCACGATCACATAGCAAATTTCTCTGGAAGTAAAAGTCTTCTGTTACAATTAGTATTCTCCATATTTGAAAATTATAGCCACCAGGTTATGACAGATTATTGAAAACTATAATTTGGAGCTATACTAGATATTTGGTGCATCTTCTTTCATAATCTAGAACTATATAAAAATACATAGTCTTGCTTCTATGCCATGAGAAAGTTAAATGAAACCAGTCAGCTTCAATGAGGACAATTTCTTGAAAGGTAAGTTATCAATATATATTTTGCTAAGAAGATGATGCTACCGAACAAAAATACTTGGGGAGAGGTCTCTTGCTTTCGGGTGTTTCAAATGCCTCTTTATAGGCATGGATCAACATGAGACAGGCTGGCATATTCCTGGAGGAAATTTAAAGAAACTGTTACCAGAGTTCAGCTATAACTCTGAACTTTCTTAGCCCTACTTGCATTTATGATGAATTCCTGGCTGACCCAAATTCCCAGGGACCCTAAGAGGTAGATATAAGGAGAAAATAGGGAAGAGTTTTCAGTGTTACTTATCCTTATATCACCCACTCTATGGGGGGTTTAAAGTCAGGTTTTTTTTTTTTTTTTTATATAATTAAAGTCCTTATCTTGTCTATAGGTGATAATTTTCAATTTTTATATTCAAACCATAAATATTAATGTACTTGTTTAAATATGCAGGATGTTTTATTAAAGATTTAAGTTCCAATTCTTACCTCCAAAATTCTGTCCCCTGATTGCAGGCGGCCATCTTTTATTGCTGCTCCCTTTGGTAAAATATTTTTTACAAAAATGGGACCAGGCCCATGTATGGAAGAGTCTCTGGTAACAACAGTGAAACCCAGTCCTTCAGGGCCTAGTGTGTAAGACCAGGAAAATGCACGGTCACCTTATGTAGAAACCTTGAAGTGAAATCTACCTAATTTAGACAAATGTTGAGTAAGTAAATATTTACATTCCAGCAAATATTCTAAATACACTTCAGTTGTTCTGACTGCAAATACAGATTATAGCTCCTGACAGGCCATGAAGGTTTCAAAGTGAATTTAGGGCCCAATGCAGATGTGTAACACTTTCGTTTATTGAGGTATCAGAAGAAACACCACATGTTATCCATAAACCCAGGAGATTGATTTCTCAGTAAACTATGAGAAGCCAAAGGCCATCTGACATGAGTTTTGTCAGGCACTCTCTCAGCTAGCCTCCCTGCAGCTACCTGCACCTGGGTCTCAATTCCTGGATGCTGAGTCCCATTGTCCCTCCCTCCCTCTTACATATCCAATCTCTCTCCTCCAGTATGTGGTTTTTACTTTGTCTGAAGGTATGCTCAAATATCTCAACCCTAAAGAATGCTTACTTCAATCTTACTTTTCTTCAGCCTTCCATCGCCAATGACCTACCCATGACCACATCCACTAATTTTTCCTATTGTGATCTGTCCCTTTCTCTAGCTTCGACACCTCTTCCCAGTTGTGTTCTTGAAATTAATGGTTTTCATATCTTTGGTTTTCATATCTTTATTTTCTGATTATTTTCCCACCTCTCTGATCACATCATGTCTGTCACTCTCTCATACCCATGGTTTTCCCACATGAACATGAATGTTTCCCAAGGCTTCTACCTGGTACAATTTGTTCTCTAGATTCTCTGCCTTGGTCAGCTCCAATTACCTTCTCCCTATATATGACACCTAAATCTCTTTGTCTCTAATTTCTCTGATGTCAGCTTCCTACATATGACCATGCACATATTTCTACCAGCATTTCAAACTTCACTATGACCTACCTTCTCTAATTCAGATCCTGGGCTTTTCACATATACTCATCTATTAAAATTTCTAGTAATGGTATCACCATTGAACAAACCACTTGCAATTCTCTCTCTCTCTCTCTCTCCTACATCCAGTCACCAGACAAGGCATACATATTATATTTAGACAGATGCAGTGTATCCTTTATTAAGACTTCATTGTTTGATCTCTTCTTCGGTATATCATTCTCCTGTCAGATTAATCTTCCTAAAGTACAGCTGTGATGTCCATATTCTTTATTTTTGCATTTAAGTCTTTCTGATGGAGTCTTAAGGTTATGTTCTGTGTCTGATTTATCTGTCCTCAAAGCACTCGATCCCATGTCTTATACATAGCTGGATAATTTGTATAAAAAATACCCAAAAACCTTGATGCATTTATATGAAAAGTCTAATTGCTAAGCACCCTGGAGAATTTGTACTTCCAAGTCAGTACAGTTTCTTCTCAGTACAGAACTCTTAAGGGAGGACAAAATGTTGACCAGAAGATCTCTCAGAATAACCACTATATCGTAATTAAGGGTATATGCTATTTTCTTTGGATATTTGTTAATGAGTATTTTAAAACTACCTTGTGATCATTAAATCCTGTATTAATTCAGAAAAATTTTGAGCTTTTGGTTTCTTTTGAACTGAATCTTGAAAATCACATCAGATTGCAGAAGGCTGCAATGGGGGAAGGGATTATCAGGAGGTTACAAAATAAACAAAAGCACAGAAGCACATGAAAGCTTATGCGTGTATGTATGTATAATAGTGCATAAATATATATGTATATGTGTTCCCTAGTCTCGCTGACCTGGGCTTGTAATCCATAGAAAAGTTGAAAAAGATGAAGGTAAGGTTATACAGGCTTTTAAAATTAAGTATGTCTTAAAAAATTGTTTACAATGTTGAATTAGCGAAATTTCAATTATATAATTATATATAATAATTATCAATTATAATGACCACATACTTTCTCTTTGAGAACTAAATATTTAGCTTGTATAAAACTATCGTAGAGAATCAGAAATGATATATGCGCTTTTTAGACTTGATCTACAAGGTGCAAAAATCGCTTCTCTTGCTGAAAAAAGGGTTCCACTGGATTTCAGTGCTGCTTTAGTGTTATGTTCTTCTCAGGTTTGGAATGGTTCTTTCCATCTCCCAACATGTCTTTATCATTTTTGTTTTGTTTCAAATACTCTATACTCTCTAGAAGGAATGAATAAAAAAGTAGTACAATTTCAAGAAATTTAAGTTCCCTACTTAAATCTATTCTTTGATACAATTAAATGGAGAATTAACAAAATTAGCCTTAATGCATTTCTCTTAACCAGTTTTACATGTTACAATAATAGAATGCTATTAAGTATAATTTAATAATTACCTTTCTTTAGGTCAATCTTAATTTTCTTTGCATTTTTCTTGCTGCCAAACCCCATGAGAGGGGAGAGTGAGGGAGAGGATGGCTTTCTACCCAGTCTTGGGACTCGGGGGCTCTTGCTTTGTTGCAGGGAAGTCACTGCATCTTCTTCAGGACTCCCTGTTCCTGTGAGATTCACTGTTTTTATTCCGGATATTCCATGCACAGGAGGCGGCAGCTTTGTTCTCAAAACACCATCGTTGTTACCAAAAATGTTAAGTGGTCCGATGACTGATTTCTCATACTGTTCACGGTTTTGAGGTGGAAGCACGTGAAGGAGAACATTCGGGGATTTCATTGCCTGACGGAAGACATCTTGAGCCCTTCAAAGAGAGGGGGTAAATATATAATGCCACCATGTCTTAGCATGGCCCCTAATGCACCCCAAACCACAGCAACGGGAGAGCACAGTACCTCAAGCATAGGAGAAAGTGTCACTATTACTATCAGGATGGCGGCAAACCAAGTACTAGTTACCACTATGACTTGGCCATGAGGTGCCCAGACACTGGGCTGGCTACACTCGCATCCCTAACTGTGCACTAACATGCACAATTCTCTCGTTTAATCTTCTTAACAACTTCCTTAATCTTCTCATTTCCTCTTACATAAGTATAATTCACTCTTATTTTGCAAAATGAAGAAACTGAGGCTCACAGAGATTAAATGACTAGTCCAATGACCCAGAGCTTTTCAATAATTCCAAATCTGAAAGTCCACCAGAAGCAATTACTAGAGTAGATATAAAAGCAAACTCTAATGTTAGATGAAAAAAAAAATTGTATCACTGATCAGATTATCAATTCATTTCCTTTTAGGGCTTTGTTCTAAAGTACAGGTCCTCAGTAAAATGGGTTGCATTCCAGAATTTCAGTTCTGGCACAAACATTTCTTCCTGGAGATATTTACGGTACTGGTTGTGCCAAATGTCATAGCGAATTATCAATCTAATACATACCCTCCCTGCTATTCTAGTATAGAGTACCTGTATTTTTTACTTTTTTGTCTTAGCACTGGGTGTTTTACTTCAGTTTTCCTGCTACCTTTTCTCTCCTTCATCTTTATGTCTCCTTGTACCTCCTGACTACCTTTCCTAGCCTGTCTTGCCAACAAGATCTACATAAAAGGGTTACAGGAAAGCTGGGAGCCAGACAATTCTTTCTTCTCCTCTTTCTCGAAACTCAAGTGATGGTGGAACCCCAGCAGCTATCTGGTGATCACGACACAACTTAACGAGAGCAGCCTCTTAGTAAGGAGGGAAAAGCAGAAAGATGGAAAACGCCTCTTTTGCTGATGCCTGAGGAACTGCCACAGCACCTCTGGACCGCCCTCGTCTGCACTTACTTGTCTTTAGGAAAAAAATAAATAATCTTGTTTAAGCTACCTTTATTTTAGGTCTCTGTCATTAACAACCATACCAAATAATAATTAATCATAATTCCAACTACCATCTGAGTGCCCCTCTCCCACCCACCAACCTCCACTATAACCTTACTTCTCCATGTTGGTAGGGGAGGGGGAGAAGATCTCACAGAGGGAGCTCAAATCCTCTGGTAGTTCCTTGACTGGGAGTCAGTTTCTACTGCACACTACCTTCGTATTGAATTTTTATGAGCCTCAGTTTCCACCTTGCATGCCTATCAAGTCCTTGTAAAAAAGTACAATGGTATTATTATTTTAAGTGTTTATTTTTTTGAGAAGAAGGTTTGTTTCTTTATTTATTTGAGAGAGGGTGCAAGTGAGTGAGAGGCAGAAAGAGAAAGAGAATCCAACAATAGGAAAGGGGGAGGGGGAGAGGGGAAGGAGGGAATGAATCCCATGCTAACAACAGGATCCCAAAGTGGGCTTGGCCCGAGAGCTGAAGTCTGATGCTTAACCAACTGAGCCACCTAGGCGCCCCACAGTCTTTATTTCTTTCCATATTTAAGCAACCATGGTCTTGTCCATGACCACTTATACCACCTCCCCGCGCCAGCAAACATACAAATATTGACAGAGAATGGTGCAGAGAATATATACTGTGAGTTGTTTTGGTCAGAAAAAAGAGAAGCTGGTGATCATTACTAAGGAGTTTTAATTAGTACTTATTCCCTTGTTCTGGAACCTCACCACAATGCCAACATACATTAAAAAAATAGGCATCAGTGCCGCATACTCTAATACTTGGCTATGAAAACTTATTCCCATATCATTTTCATATGCAGAAAAATGATTTCTTGGGGGAGAATATTTTAATTCTTTTTCATTTGTTTCTATTACTGACTGAGTCCTCACTGACATCTCTCACAGACATTTAGGTTTAAGGAAGACTGCAGACACAAGCTGCTTAATTAATAAGCTGAACTAACCATCTGTGAAAAGAGTCATTAAATACCAGTTTAACTGACCCATATCCCAAGCAAAACAAACCCATCTATTGATGATCCAAACAGACAACCAGGCAGGAAGGCTTGCTGTATTCTGCCGTTTACTATTCCTATTCCTACGGCTGACAGGGACATGTGCGGGCTACCTTTGAGCATGCTCGCACATCAGATGCATCTGCAAAGGGATGTCCTGGGGTCATTCAATGGGGACTGACCAGAAAATTCTACCTACTCCCTACTATTCTGACCACCAAGAGCTCAATGATGATTGTTAAGTTTTCCAGGGATCAATACAGTAAATAAAATAATGACAAAAATGCTTACTGAGCAAAGGATTTGTCTACGAGGTCCACGTTGTTGATTTTTACAATACATTCATTTTCATGAAATAGTCCCTCCCGCTTGGACCTGCTGTTTTCTTCAATGCCGCGGATGAAAAGTCCTAGAATCCTAAATGCAAAATTGAGGTTGAAATAGAATTACTGAGTAATAATACACTAATTATTTCTCCACTTGCACCTATTCAGAAGTATTGATTTCTCTTTATGAAATAAATTACGCTTTATATTCAGGCAACTGTTTGTCACTTAAATCCTTAGTAAAAACAAAAACAAAATCCACTGAGAGAAAAAGCCCTTCAGGACAGATAAACATCAACATTGACCCAGAGTCCACCGGGCCACCACTCCATTGCCATGCGGTGTTCTTGGAAAAGGCCCCCACAGCTCTGTGGAGTGAGGACACAGAGGCCTCTGGTTTGGAGACGGCTGATTGTAATAAGTATGTTAGTGCCGAAAGAACCTGAGGCTTAATCAAGGGAGAGGATTAGGTATTCACCATACTTTTGTGCAATCTTACTACCTGCTCCAGCAATTTGCATTTTAAGAAGAAAGCAAACAGTTAAGCACAGATCATCCTGTTCAGTGTAAAAGGTGGTTCAGTCTCATTTGTGAGTGTCCCTGACTTGAGTAAATGTGAGCGTTTCCTTCCGTCAGGACAAAGGAAAAGGAGGCACGGCTACAGGATCAGGACAATTAGTCAGTATGAGCTTGGCATAGAGTAGAAATTAAAAACAAGCCCTAAAAACCTATAGACATTCATAAGCCCTGTCTTCATAGGAGGATTAGGGGAAGAGGGTATGTAAACTGGATCAGAAAACTGAGTAGGATCCGGGTAGGGGGAGAGAAGAATACACATGGTGGCAGGAGGAAGCCTGTGTACTTATGTGGGGTGCCAACGCTGTATAGGGAGGCCACAGCCGCACTGAGGGGCCTCGGACACTAATTGATGGGCTCAATCTAATGAGGCTGGACCAGCAGGACAGCCACCACTCACTGCTTCTGAGGGAGACAGTGACATGATGGGGCAGGGCTCTGGGAAGACTTGTGTGAAATTTCAACCAGAAAGCGTTGGGATTCAGAGAGGACAGCTGGAGGCTAATGGTGCTTTGTGGCTGTGGCTCAGAGTCAGGAGGGAAGGGGCTGAACAAAAGGAAAGGAGAAAAAACTATAGCAATAAAGAATTAGATTGTGTGTGTGTGTGTGTGTATGTGTCTGACATTTTGGTAGGATCTAAAGTCAAAACTATGAAATCAAACTTGTGTATATTTCAGCTATTTCACATATGACATAGCTTCCTCCTGGGCCATGTCAGGGGTGTGCATCCCCAGAATAAGACAGAAAGATACGTCCTTCCAAGAGGAATCTGCTGGGCATGGAGAAACAGCCATCTCCGTGTCCCCCATCCTCTTGTCTTTCACCTTTGCCTTTTTTTTTTTTTTTTTTTTTTTGGTTTCTGCACAGCCCCTTTGTATTAAGTCTCAGACCTGAATAAAATAGGAGGACATTTTATACGTGGATGACAGGGCCATCCATGGAGAAAGAACAGTGTCTAATGAAAGTCAAGGAGAAAACTGTCTTCCTGTTTGGAGCAGCCACACAGTGAGGCCTCTGCCCCCAGGGTCCCAGTCCATTTAATGAGCTCATGTCATCTGAAGACGGCAAGGCAGTGGCACATGTGGTGATATTTAGGTCTCTACTCCAATGGATGGAGGAGAGAGTCATGCCACCTACAGTAGGGAAGGGTCAGGGTCATGGGCACAAGTGTACAGGGGGTGTTATATACGCTGCATTCCTACTTCTATCTTAGTAAATTCACCATAGTCTGTGTGCAAGAGAAAAGGGACCAAAGCTACTATTTGATAAAGGATCTGAGATTCGAATTAATATTTTTAAGACTCTAATCCTACCTTAATCTCATAATGTAATATTAAAAATTGACCTATTCAACATGCAAAAGAAGAGGAAGAAGAAAAGGAAAGAGAACAAAATAGTGTTTCTTTCCTAAATTAAACAACTCTCTAATAGTTCACATTTTGGATTTTTGTTATGGTGGATTCACAATAACATGATCCATTAGGAGGCTCACATGTGGTTATAAACGAGTTTATGTAAGCGATATTTTTTTAACAAGCATTCAAGTCTTCCTTTAATTTAATTCAGTACATCATCAGTCATGTAATGTTACTCCCTAGGATTTAATTTCACATTTTGGGAGATGAATTAATTCTTTCAGGCCACTGGGTTGCAATTTAGCTGGCATATTACAGCTGGAGTATGCCATGTGAACCTCACTGATCTAAATAGCCTAACTTTCCATGAAAAATTTATTGACAGAATAAGCTCAACTGTAAAACCCATGTGTCAGAGGTAATTTTGGTAAAATGTAAAACTGACTGATTTTATTAGTTTGGTTCCTGGCAACGAACCACTCTTGCCTTCTCTATTCCACAGAAGGGATGGACGCCCTCCAGTTTGATTTCATCCAGACCAGTACAAGAAGGCTCAGAAAAGAGTCCCTCACTATCCTCTTTGCCCCAAAATTGTGGGTTGTGGTGGTGGTGTCTTCTGGGACTAAGGCTCTCGGGACTGAAAGACGAATGCTGCTGAGGAATTATAGGCTGAGACGAACCAGTTAATTTGCATTAATGAGCAGTGATAAAGGAGGCTGAAATCCACTGCCCTACAGAACAAGAGGGGTGACAATTGCTTCTTTTTCTTCTAATAATCATTTAGAAACTAACCCACCCACACTCCTTGACCCCTTCTGCTTTTCTCACTGTATCACAGGCCTTGGCTGCTCTACAAGCTTTGCATTTTTATCTAAAGTGTCCTCTCCTTACATTACGTGTTATTCCTCACCCATCCTTCCTTCTCTGTCATATTTAGCTGTCTTTACTATGAAACTAAGGTATACTAGTCTATCTTTATTGAAAAACAATTAGATTTCATGCTTTTAATTCTAAAAGAAAACCATTAATTTCTTTTTCTTAAGTCGACAAAATGAAATTGGTTTTAATTTGCAAAATTCAGTTTTGTGTATATTTGTTTCTTACTGTGGAAGCCAAGGGGACTCCATACAAGTGGCATTCAACACCCTATGCTGTGCGCCCTAATGAATCCGTTGAGGCCTTATCTAGTACAGCCGCCGCTGTACTGCACTCAGATTTTCCTATTCAACAACAGGTATGGGAGTACTTTTCTAAAAGAAAAAACTATACATATACACCTGAAGAAATTGGAGGCAAAGTCAATTACAGTAGTCTTAGTAAATAATTAAATGTAAATTCCAATTTAAAATAATGACACAAGCCAATAAAAGGAAGGAAATTAAGAACTAAGTATACCACTATGACCTTAACTCACCCCCGCCCCTCACCCCCAGTCCCTGTGCTCACACACTGAAACCATATGGCATTATGAAGTCAGACACTTGTCTGACACGCTCTATACTCAGTTGCATCTAAACACATGGGTTGAGTTAAGTGTGCTGTTTCAGCCTGTACTCATTACTTCTTAACTTTTATTGGCTCATGTCTCCACTCCCATATTATTTTTTATGTTTTTTAATTAAATTTCCTTTCTATAATACTAATGGAGAGCAAAATAATATATATAGAACTATTTCACCAAGTTACTAAACAGTTGACCATGAATTTATCAAAGTTCATTTGTGAACCAGGATTTTTTGCTTTAGTCATGATATTAATAATACCGATAATTTACACATTCATATGTTGTTTTACAAAGAGTTTTCATATTTTCAATGCCATTTAATCCCCATAACCTTGATGTGAAGTAGGTATTCACAAGAGGGAAGCTTAGAGGACTTGCTCAAAGTTATGAAAGAGAGAACACTGAGATTCAAATCCAACTGTTCTGAATCCAAGTATAACACTCTTTCTATTCTCCAAGGCCTATACTAGAAATCTGAACCAGGAAGGAGAAGGGAAAAAACCAATACATTTTGGTGTGTTTCTCTCATTTGTTGTAAGAGAAGGTGATTTCTGGTCTGTAGGGTCAACTTGTTTTCCGAACTATTGAAAATGAAGTATGGTGACTGTCACATTGTACATTTCTTCATGTTTTGGAAATTGGGATGATCTTGTGTTCTATTCCGATTTCATTAAGCTAAAGGGCCTGGTAATTTAACCGCTCTGGTATTTCACAAAGCTCTATCGGTACACTTCTGCCAAAAGCCATTAGAATTTCTCATGACAACTGGATAAATACTCTTCCTGTCTATCAAAAACAACCTCAGCTTGTCCCGTGTCATAACCCATAACATTTATAAACAGGCTTATTAACACATACAGGAAGTGAAACAATAAGAACCACTAGCTTTTCAGTTCATTTCTTTTTAGAGTTCATTCCAGGAAAAGCTTGGCATCAGATGTTATTTGCAAAAAAAGGTGATGACTTTGCAATTACAGGTAGCAGATGGCTACCTGCTGAAAATGATGCCAACAAAAATATCATGACTAAATCTACTTTCCTGCTATATGGCAGACTGAACTGAATAAATATTCAGAATCAGTAAATTAATACTATATAACCTTTGGGAAAATTTTTGCTCTAGAAAGAGCAATGGAGTGCGGGGGTATAGTTCAGGATTTTGTGTGACTTTGAAAAAAATCAATGAATTTTTCTGGACTTTGCTCTCCTAAACTAAAATAAGACACTCTGCCCTTTCAGTGATGCATTTAATATAAGAAAAATTAAATTAGAAAATTAATTAAAATTATATCATGGGTGAGAAACTGATCTTTTAAGAAAAGCCGTTTCTTTTAAGACAGCCTTTGTCAATATCAATCTAGTGCTAAAGGCAGTCATCTTCTTGAACAATGACATAATATCTGATACTAGTCTTGTAAAGTTGTTAAAAGAATACTAATATTAACTCTCAGACACATACTTTAATTTCCATCAGAAAATCAAGTTTTATATTCAGTTAGGTGGACATGAATTTCAAGAAATGCTGACAGTTAAATTCTCCTTTGCCACTGCGGATTTGACAATATAATTTCAAAAGGACATGGTATACTGTTTTTAAATGATTACATTTTATTTTAGAAAAAATGAGCACATTGGCATTTTACTACTATACTTAAAATCATGAAAACATACAGCTTCTGATATAGCCACTTATAATGCTAGAATATTTATTATCCTAAGTTCTATATACCTGAGCAGTATTGGGAAATACCAGTTGGGATCACTAAACTCACTTTTGAATTGTATTTAGGAATATAAAAAAAAATCCGTGGCAATATTTGTCCAAAACTATGTTAAAATCTTTTCCAAGCATTCTGTTTACTACATGTCACTGATAAGAACACTTTAAGAAAATACTTCAAAATTAATTGTGGATGCAGAAATTGTGATATAATTTCTTTTCCATGGTGTCCTTTAAGGAAATGGCTTTGTTTCCAACACTTAAGTAGCCAACAGACGTATATACTGAGGCATCTGTCTGAATGACGGAGATACATATTTAATCCTCCTCTGAAATGTGTCTCGGAAAATGAGCTGAAGTCAAGTTTTTCATTAGCATGAGCTTCTGATATAAAGAAAACATCTTACCTTCCACTCAGAGATGAAAAGAAAGGCACTACATGTATTCCCAAGGGGCCACCTTCCCCAGAAATCTCCACTGTTCTGGTCATATCACTGGGGCAGGAAAAAAAAAAAAAAAGAGCACAGATGAGACTCTTAAAAAAAATGAAGCATAGTATAGAAAAACACAAAATTTAGGATTATATCAACTACTGTAAATTCAACAGCAGAGATGAAATCAAAGGAGTATATGATCTGCTGGTATGTTCACAAGATCCAGGAAATAAAAATTTTTAAGACTATCTGATTTCTAATTTTTTTTCCCTAGAAGAGAAACAAATGGAAATAACGACCCATAAAAATAACTTCATACTTAAGTTAATCTGCATAAATCAACATATTTAAAAGGATGTACACAAAAAATGAAATTTCTCCCCATTGAGACATACTTGAAATTACTCGACAGATGATAAAATACATGGAATTAAGCTTATCTATGCTTAAGCATAAAGTAGGCTCTCCTCCTCAGAACAGGAAAATTGAAATAAAATATATATTTATCAGAAAAAGCACAGACTTACATTTTACAACAGTGAAGCCACAGTTGGTAATACATATGGGCATGTTTAGAGCATTATAAATCAAAACTCAGACTTGCCTTTCAATAAGGCATCAGTTGTATTCAATGGAACAATTCTAAATTTTCACCTCCTACTTTTTTTTTAGAGGTAGAGAAAAGAGTTGTAAAGTCTGGAGAAAATGTATTATAGAAAGAAATAGAAAGCCTGACCCGCCTAACCTACTCCAGATTAAGGAGCGAATGAGCTAGAAACATTAATAGAGAGTGTGTATGACTGAAATATATATGACACTGGGAAACTTTGAATAATAAAGAGTGGAACTAACAAGTTTTTATGAAGATGAAAAATAATAACCGTGAACAATTATCGGCTCCTTTAATCCCACAGACAGAAAATAAAATTGCCAGAGGAAAAATGATAAAGTTGAAGCAAACATCCCTGTTAATGGAAATTGTAAGCAGGTCTCTTTTGTTTCCTATTTACATGAAAATGACCTGAAACTGGATGTCAAATTAAGAGCTACAGCTGTTACAAATGCTTCTCTGTTCCAAATTGAAAGCGGTGAAATTTTGGCCCCTTGCTAGAAAGTTGAGAACAGCATATGAAAGCAAAGTGCCTGATGAATTCCCTCTGCATGCAGTGCTCTCTGAATTATCAGCAATCTATAATGAATATATTAAATATAGTAAATATATTCTCATCAGTGGAGTAGGCTTATTTTTAATGTATTTTTATTGCAAACTTATTATCATTAGGAACTGTAAGAAAGAGCATGTCAGTTTCTAGCATTTGTGGAATATGAGGGAATTTCAAATCCGATAATAAATTTCAAATGCGATTTGCTCAGATATTGCAGATATGTTTAAAACTTGTTCAGTCAAGCAGGTTATATCAGAGGCCTCGAATAAAAGTTAGAAATAAAACAAATCTTAAAGCAATAATATCATGTGATAAAATAAATTCTTCTTGATAGTTCTGGTGTGAGAATACAGATATTATATAAATACACATATATATGAAATACTATGTATAGGTATACATTATATGCCCTGAATATAAAATATCTGGTGGACAGAGAAAGTTTTATAGCTTTTAATGGACCACAAAGCAACAATTTTTATATAACAGATTTATAGTGCATTCGTAGGTATTTGAGGAAGAATAAACCCAGAGTATTAACACTCTAGGCTAACAGTAGTGTTCTAAAGACTTTTAAAAACAAAGACAAAAATTTTGCTTAATCATTAAAACTTTTATAATCATTAAACCTTTATAATGTATTTTTATACTTTTGCACCTTAAAACAAAACACAAATCTTTCTTAATAAATCCATTAAATATCCACATGCTGATAGATAGCACTTATATGTATTATACAGAGGCTTTTGGAATGTATGTGTTTAGCACAGAGTTCAAAATTTTGGCTTAAAAATTTTTAGGATGGCTTTATGAATTTTTTGTCTATTTTGCAAATATTTCTTTACCTAGCTCAAATCCCCTCCTATAAAACATAATAACTTTTATTAAGTCATTTTATGTCATTGTGAAATGAGTGAAATCTGGAGATGTGTCAAGGAATAGGTTGGGAATGAGGCAGAATTTAAGGATGAGGTGAAGGCCTTCTGCACATATTGCTTGCTGTTAACACACACACACACACACACACACACACACACACACGCACCACCAAATAGAAACCTCTTGCTTCATCATCTTAAGATCAAGATAAATTGAGTAGTGCTTCATAAGAGATGCATGTTGTAAGACTACTTGGAGAACTAATAGTAAAATTTCTTTAAATAAATGTGTTAATGATGGGTGAGCAGTTAATAGGTATGCTTATGATTTATGGAGCAATGTGTTCTAACCATTTACTGAACAAATACACTGCTATCATGTTCCAAGACCTGCAAGAAGTATCAGGAATCCCTTGGAGGGTTCCCAATCTTATACGGGAGAATGACAGTTAAAATAAACTGTAGTGTATGTGACAATCATAACTGCATTAGCAATTAATATTTATCCAGTCTTGCATTTAACTTGCACTGTGCTAAGTGCAACTATCTGTGATAAATCTCATTTAATCTTCAAAATAATCTATGTGATCATGTTACCCATTTTCCATACCAAAATACTTTAAACAGGTTAGATAATTAGTCCAAAGTTACATAGGTAGTGTTCAAACTCAGGATTTAATGAAGTCCAAAGGTCCAGGAGTGAAGGAATGGTTTGATGAGTGCTGTGGTTTAAGAAGTTGTACCTAGGGTGATACAGGAGATCAATTAGGATAAAGAGAAATTGATATTCAAGAGGAGAGACAGTAGGTTCCTATAACAGTCTGAGAGGGAAAGAAGGCTTGATCAGTAACTCTTGGAATTAAAACACAGGAGGCAGGTTCAAAACATTTTGAGATGGACTCTGGAAATAATTTACTGGCTTCTATGTCACCTACACTGAAGTGAGGCCAAAGCCCTATCCTTGGGCCAAACTCTGTGGGATATCACGTTCCCCTTGCCCCAGGAGAATGCTGACCATGTAACCCAGCCGAGAGTGACTTCCTAATTTCTCTTCATTTGTTTCTTCATCATCCCATACCAGCTGGAAACTATGCCCTCTCCTAAAATTAGAATCTCCAAGCTTTCAGCTGCTAGCTGTGCATTACATTCACATCTTCATCCTCATTCTCATCCTAGCCCTATCCAAAAGCCTACAAGCGTTGGGACTTTGCACTTACTCTACTTTCTGAACTTGACCTCAACCTGATTTCAACTCATTTCTCCAAACTGGTGCTCACCACATTAAGTAATGAAATGAATAAAACACCAAAGAATAAAAGAATAAAACACCATGAAATAAAACACCAAAGAATAAGGGAAGGTGTCCACACCAGATAACACTGGAGTCTGAGAACTTGGAGAGAAGTGTGGTGGGAATAGATTGGGTCTCTAGAAGTTATTTAAAAAAAAAAAAATTATATCTTTATTTATTTTGAGAGACAGAGAGTGAGCAGGGGAGGTGAGAGAGAGAGGGAGACACAGAATCTGAAGCAGGCTCCAGGCTCTGAGCCGTCAGCACAGAGCCCGATGTGGGACTCAGACCCACGCACAGAGATCATCACCTGAGCCGAAGTCAGACGCTTAACTAACTGAGCCACCCAGGCACCCCTTATAAGTTATTTAATTACTCTAAATTGCAATTTATTAGCCTACTAAATGTGATAAGACTCTTGCAAAAAAACTGTTTTGATCATCAAATTACACATATGCATACATATATTTTAATTAAAGATTTTTTTAAATTCTTATACTCTATTCCCCTCAAATCTTTGTATCTGGAGAAAGTTTAGCTAATTTGTTCCTGTAGGCATAAATCAAACAACTGTTCACTCAATAGCATCTATCTACCTAACATTTAGCCAAGACGTTAGCAAACTTTACAAAGAGCAAACATTGAAAAAAATGAAATTAAAGGCAAATAGAAGAAGAGTATTACATTCATTATGCCTACCTCCAAAACAATCTTATCAAGTTTCTCAAAAGACAGTGCCCAGGAGATTTTATATACCAGAATTTTAATATTGTGCATCTCATTAATCAAAGCAATATAATCTAAATAGAATGACTATGTCATGTGGCTATAAATTGTAAGCTTAAGGAAAGTCTGCATAGTATATCAGTGTGACAAAGGATGATCACCTATATATATTTTTAAAGCTAATTCCATGTAAAATGCTTGGCAACTATTAGTAACTGGACTGAATGAAGAGAGTATGTTGAGTAAATGAAAAATTGAAGGATCATCAATGTCAGAAGCATCACCTCTGAGTGCTGAGGCCAACAATTCTATTAAACGTGGAATTACTCTCCTGGTACAAAATGTGAAGCAACTTAGAAAAAATGATAGTAAGCATGGTGGTGGTGGTGGTGGTGGTGGTGGTGGTGGTGGTGATGGTGGTGATGATCAGCCTCCTCCTCCTCATCATAACAGAGATAATGGTGATAGTGGTACACAGTAATAATGGAAGGAAGCCAACAGCAGCCAGTATCCCCAGGGCTTACTCTAGCCCAGGCACCATTCAAAGTGTTTTACATACATTAAATCATTTAATCTTCAAACCTACGCTCTAAAGAAGGTTTCAATATTATTTCTGTTTTACAGACTGGAAACTAAAGCAAAGAGAGCTGAGTAACTCGCTTAAGCTCATAGAATGGTAAGCAGCAAAACTGAGCTGAACCCACGTAGTAGTGAAGGCAGAACTAGAAATCAGTGCAGAACAAAGAAAATATTGGTAAAGGAGAGAGCAAAGGACTTCATACAATGAGTTACTTACATTAGAAACATGAAAGATCCTGGCTGATAGACTGGATTCATTTTATACACATTAAGTAAAATATTGCAAGATGGTTACAACACAATGCAAAGCAATATTCAAGGGGCTAATGTCCAAGTAAAACGCTCAACCAGAATGAACTCTGAAAATTCACTTTAAACTGTTGTTCAAAGGGGACAAAAGCAACTAAGAAATCCAGGTTTCAGAAAAGTTGAAAGACTTGGAGGCTAATTCATATATGTTTGTCAGGAAGTTCTTATATCATAAAAGGAAATAAAAGAATGACTAATTAATTTTAGAAATGGGAAAGTTTTCACTCCACTATTCTACTTATCTTGATCTTCTCTATAAAATAAACACAACTAAAGCCTGTTAAAGAAACAAACATCAACCTGAAATAACTAGAATATTCTTATGCACGTAATGAGAATACCTCAATGCATCCTTGGTTTTCGGCGATGTCAGTAGTTCTGTCTGTACACCATTCATAACTTCTCCATCTTCTAAGTTCTGTGTGGAATCCTGTAGTCAAACAAACCCATAAGCATGTGGATGCTATGCATATAGAACTGAAAATTTGAATAAAATATCTCAATGTGAGATAGCAAATGGTTTTCCTCTAGATATATACAGTATGCTCGAATTCCTTTGAAGACTGGAACAGGTGTTAATCTTTTCAGGGCTTTCAATGTTCTTTTCTCTCCCATTTGGTTTCAGAAATACTCAAATGGGCCATTTATACAAGGCGATATGTTAAGAGCTTTGGAATACATCATTTAGCTTCCTGCTACTCAACCATAAGCTTTTGGGGCTGTGTGTTTTAAATCAGCAAGGAAAAGGGGTACCAAAGGGAAGGTGTCACTGACAGGTGGTGATGTAGTAGCTTTAATGTACTGTACTTGGTTTGCACCCCCTGCTGACACTAAAAATATAAAGAAAGCAAAAATTCACAGAAAAAAAGTTGCCTGCCAAGGTCATTTCTGTCAAAAGTATAACAGGATTGCAGCAGGAAAAGAAATTTGGAGTTCTTATTTTGTCATAAGACTTTCATTCTGAGAATGATCTTCAGCAGAGAGTAACTAAAATTAACCATTTAATTTCTAAAATGGTAAACACTCTTCCACTACAGAAAGGAAAAAGGGTCAGAGAAGTTGAGTACTCCAAGACAGTGGCAAAGTTGAGTTGGATGTTACATAGGGAGAATGAATTCCAAAAAGCAAGCTGGTTTAGAGTTTCACTTGTAAAGCATGATTAGATATCTGTTAGGCTTCTGAACTGTACTTTCACAGAGTGACTCTGCAGATACACTGCTCTTTGGAAGCAAAGTCACAGTGCTCTTCATGGACTCAGGTTTTATCAAAACAACAAACCACCCGGAGAAAGAAAGACCCATTGTCAACAATCACACCTATAAATAGAGCACTCATGGATCTGATAGCATCATTTCAACAACACAAAGACAATAGATCAGTTCAGAGGTTGGGCATAAAGTAATTAGGTTAATATCTTGAAGAAAACAAGATGTGGAGCCACAACTCAAGCAGTATGTCACTGTGAAATGAGTGAAATATATTTCACTTTTAGACTGAGTAGCAACATCCACATAGGTTTGTGGGTTTTGTGAAGGACTTGGTCTACACTAGATTTTTTTTTTTTTTGATTTATTTTCCTTTCCACAGACAGAAAGATAGGGAAGAAAATCTAAAAGGTTAAAGCACACTTTTTAGTTTAGGGCACCCAATCTTAAAAGATGAATGTTATTAAAAGCTTTCAAATATTCATATTATTATGGAGGGCTTGATAGATGCTTACAGAGAAAAGAGACAGCTGGGTAGTTTACAAAAATACTTAGGTAGACAATTTAACAAAATATTTGAACTTGCAACTATTGCACATGTCAGAACACTTGATGACGGCGTTTATCGGAATTGTATACTTTCTTACCTGTCTCTCCTACAAAAGAGGAAGTTCAATGAAGGGTAAGGGCAGGTCTAGTCCTCTGCTAAGTACACAACACACAGAGCTCATTCAGGGAGTGTTAATGAATGCATGAGTAGAATGGCATTGGATTAGTTTCCAAATGCTGTGTAATAAATTACCCCCAAATTAAATGGATTAAAAAATGCCCTATTCTCTCTCATAGTTTCTGTGTATGGCTTCTATTTAGAAGTGGCTTCTTCGATGGGGGAGTTCTGGCGCAGAATCTCTCATGAGGATGCAACATCTCAAGATGTCAACAGGGCTGCAGCCTCCATCACTGAGAGGCTTGACTGGAGGGGTTTAAGACCTATAATTTTTTTCTTATAGAAGTTTTGTTATAATTCACATAAACCTTTTATTAAAAGTTATTTAATTTATTTAAAGGTTATTTAAGGGTTGTTAAGCTAATCCATTTAAAAAGTACAATTCAGTTTATTTTAGCTTATCCACAGAATTTTGTAATCATCACCACTATCTAAATTTAGAGCAATTTCAAAACCCCAAAGACAAACTGTGCACCAAAGAGCTATCAGTCCCCATTCTGCCTCCCCCCACTCCCGGAAATCACTAATTCTGTCCCTAATTTACCTATTAATTTCTGTCCCTAAGAATTTACCTATTATGAACATTTTATACAGACAGAATCATAAGACATGTGGCTTTTATCGCTGAGCATGAGATTCTCAAAGTTCATTCATACTGTAGCATTGGTCAGTATTTCACTGCATTTTATGGCTAAATACTATTCCATTGTGTGGATACACCATACTTTGTTTACCCACCCATCACTTGAGGGGCACTTAGGTTATTTCCACTTTTTTTGATCATAAGTAATTCTGCTATGAACATTTACCCACCCAAACTGTTCAATTGTGAAATAATGTTGCTAAGAACTTAATGTGCTTTCATTTCTCTGATATATACCTACGGTGGAATTGCCAGTCATATGGTAACTCTGTTAAACATTTTGAGGAACTGCTATACTATTTCCAATGTTTTGCACAATTTTAATCCCTATCAGCAATATATATATCAGGTTCCAATTTCTCTGAATCTGCACCTTATCACTTTTTTTCTTTTTTAAATTTTAGCCATCATAGTATGTGTGAAGTGGTTTTTATTTTTCATATCCCCAATGGCCAATGATTTGTATTTCTCTATAATGACCAATGATGCTGAGCATTTCCTAATATGATTGTTGGACATTTGTACTTCTTCTTTGAAGACATATCTAAATGTTTATCATTTTATTACTGAACTTTAAGTATTCTTTAAATTTTCTGTAGACAAATTCCTTAGATGTATGATTTGCAAATATTTCTACCCATTTTGTGGGAGACATTACTTGAAATTTCTCAATGTGCCATTTGAAGCACAGAAGTTTTTTTTTAATTTTAATGAAGTTTAATATATCTTTTTTTTCCCCCTTTTGTTGTTAGTGCTTTTTGGTGCTGTATCAAAGAAACATTGCCTAATACAAGGTCACAAAGAGATACTCCTATATATTCTTCTAAGAGGGTTTTTTTTTTTTTTTAAATGCTTATTTATTTTTATGGGGTGCCTAGGTGGCTCAGTTGGTTGAGCGTCTGACTTCGGCTCGGGACATGATCTCATGGTTCATAGGTTAGAGCCCCGCATAAGCTCTGTGCTGACAGCTCAGAGCCTAGAGTCTACTTGGGATTCTGTCTCCCTCCCTCTCTGCCCCTCCCCTGCTCACACTCTGTCTCTCTCCCTCTCTCAAAAAAAAAAAAATAAATAAACATTTTATTTTTATTTATTTTTGAGAAAGAGAGAGAGGGGAAAAGAGAGAGAGAGAGCGAGAGAGCAAGCACACACGTATGTAGGGAGGGTCAGAGAGACCATCTTAACCAGGTCCACAGAGTCAGAGCAGAGTCCAATACAGGGCTCGATCTTATGAACTATGAGACAGTAACCTGAGCCAAAATCAAGAGTCAAGAGGCTTAACCAATGAGCCACCCAGGCTCCCCTCTTCTAAGAATTTTATTATTTTAGCTGTTATATTTAGGCATATAACTATATTGAGTTAATTTCTGTACACAGTGCGAGGTAAGGGTCCAACTTCACTCCTTGCATATTTAGTTGTGACTACACCATTTGTTCAAAAGACTATTCTTTCCCCATTGAGTTGTCTTAACATCCTTATCAAAAGTCAACTGGGCAAAACTGTAAAAGGGTTCATTTCTGTACTCTCAATCATATTCCACTGATCTATACATGTGTCACAGTCTTGACTGTATAGTTTTGTACTAAGTTTTGAAATCGGGAAGTGAGAATCCTCCACATTTGTTCTTTTCCACCGTTTTTGCTATTCTCTGTCTCTTGTATTTTCATATAAATTCTAGAATCAGAACAACAAGTTCTGCAAGAAAAAAATAGCTAGCTAGATTTGGGGAAGGATCACATTGAATCTGCAGATCAATTTAGAGAGTGTTAGCATCTTAACAATATAAAGGCTTTTTATCCATGAACAGTTAACAGTGGCTATTAATTAAAATAAATATCTTTTTCATGGATATATATCTTCAGAATGTCAAAGAAAAAATTGGGATATATGTTATAAAATTTTAACTATTTTTGCCTCTTTTTCTTTATTTCAAGTGAAATTTTCTTATTGACTTCTTGCTAAGGTAAGAAAATAACACACTTTCTGGTTCGAATCAACATGTGACAAGTTAAAATAACTTTTTCTAGTTCTAACTAGATGGTAAGTAAAGGTTCTATTTATGTCAACAACATACTTAATGCTCTGAGTATGGAAATGTCAATTAGAAACTGAAAGCAATATTGGGCCAATTGCAATGTGATAATCTGCTCAAGGGTAATTCTGAACTGACTGCAGTTTTACAGCAATCATGTCAACAGCTATAGACTTAAATAAAAAAAAACACACAGGTTCACAGACTTATATGTCTAAGACAAAAAGTTCTATTTTAAATGTAGCATCAAAAACTCTTTGCTTTTCCACAACTATCAAAAAAGGGCAGTTACTATAGTTTATCATCTCAACTAATGGGCAGTGTCTGTCACTTGCCAAAATCATTTCTATATATTGCAATAACAGAATCCTTTGATATTCTCTAGAGATGGGGCAGGCAGACAGAGGCCCGGGGCTTCCTGTAAGGACACAAAGCCAATTCCGAATTGACTTCAACAACAGGGCTTCAAGACTTATAGACAACAACAACTTATTTCTTGACAGGGTCCAAAAGATCACTGTTTTCCAAAAACTGCAAAATACTTGACAAGCAATAATTTAAGAGCATTTAGGCTTTTCCTTCACTAAACTGAATGGTGAAAAGTCACGAAATCACACATATCTAAAAATGAATTTTTTCCCCTCATAGCTTATTTAAATAATGTTGAGAAAAATCTGTAGAATCTGACTTTTAAATTGGGAAGTAAAGGGACAAAATTAATCTGATTATGAAGAGCTAGGGGTATAAACAACTGGTGAACAGCCACTAGATTTCTTCAACTTGAGACTTGAGAAATATTAATTATGTGATTTCAAACCCCCATCT